GCCCCCTGCCATTTTTGTGGGGGGGGGGGGGGTTCTATAGTAACAAACGCAACTTTAACACACATTTGATCGATTCTGATGCCGTGCTCACTGTCATGCTTGCGCACCAATCACGGTCAAGCACACGTTCATAAGAATTGTAAGATCTACTGCATCAGTGGCGCCTGCAGGTGTAGGGCTGTACGCACTGTGCCTACCATGAGCGCTCAGACTGACCTGAGATTTGCCCCGCAAACCTTTAAGCAGTTATTATAGGCCTGTGTGTCCCATATTACGGTTGACCGAACCAGCCATGCCATTAATTATGAATTTATCAGTATTTTGCATGCCAAAGTCAATTTCTGCATAGAAATATTACTTTCATGAGATCGGGTTAGCCTACAACAATTAATTTGTTGGCTATTTTACAAATGGGAATACAACAAATTTATGACAATGTTTTACATTCAAGCTACCCCTTAAAATATATAGTGAAAAGTACTTTAAAAGTGTCTGGAGTGCAATAAAGTAATTTGTAAAGCATTTGCTGCATGGATAAAAAAAATAGGCTAATAAATAATTCACATATCAGACAAAATTGAGTTGCAGCAAATCCTTTAAATTTGTTTTAAAGTAGTAATTTAAAGCGTTCTGTATATTTTTATCATGTCTGTGAGGCAAGTCGCTGAGTTTAGGTTCATCATTGTGAAGCGCTCCTGTTCAAGACCGAGACGGCAGAAAGCGTTTGTTTTCTTTATTTTATAAAAGCACAACGTTTTGTTGATATTGTGGGTGCACAAATAAAACTAGCCTCTTTACAGTTTAGAATGCTGTATTACTCTTACCTTTATGAGCAAAAATGACTGTGTATATTGTTTCCACTGTTAGAAAAAAATGCAAGTGATAGCACTGGCGCCTCCATGTCGAGCGTGCTTTAGCTTCCACTCCTCCGCACAAACGATAGGAAATGCGTCTTAACAGCGCACATTTATCTAGGTTAAACATTTAAACTAACATTGTGATATGCTTGAACTGTTTTATATATAGATTTTATTTTAGGCAAGTCGTGATTATTTGAGAAGGCTAAATTGATCAAACATATAGGCTATGATCAATTCACTGTCTGCCGCTGGTCATTACTTCAAAGAAAAACAACTTGCATTTAAGGAACAAAAAAATGCTCCAAACGTTTTTCTAAATTAACTTTATAAAAAAA